CCCAGGTTGCCCAGGGATGTGGTGACTACTCCAGCTCTGGCAGTGTTCAAGGCCAGGTTGGATGAAGCCTTGAGTTATCTGATCTAGTGAGGAGGTGTCCCTGCCCAGGGCAGGGGGTTGGGACTAGATGATCTCTCAGGCCCATTCCAACTCCTTAAATTCTATGATTCTATGAAGCCTCAACTTTTGCTGAAATATTTCTGCACACAAAAACAGTGACTTTAGGCCTCATCCAGTCCCAACCCCCCGCCATTCCTTACAGAAAGTGATTCAATCCAGTGAGGAGGGTTTTAAATTAATCAACTGGAAGGTATTAGTCACACAGTATCTATGCTAAAAACCTTTGCAGGCATAAATACATAAGCCCTGCATTCACTACCAGCAGCCATTAGCTGTGCACATACCTCAGCTCGTGAACCAGATGAGCTGTGATCCGTGATCCTGAAGCACCCAAGGGATGACCTATAGCAATGGCACCTCCGTTGACATTGGTTTTTTCAGGGTCAAGGCCCAGAACCTTCTCAACAGCCAAATACTGAGGTGCAAATGCCTCATTCACCTAAAGCACCAGAGAAAGGATATGATTTTTACACAAGCAGTATGTGTGCACACAAGATGAAACGAGGTGAACTTCTTCAGGTCATGTTGGGAAAAGTATCAAACACTGTGTTTATGAAAGTGTACTCAGTCAACATAAGAGCTGTCAATACAATCCAATCAAACTCAAATACAAAGCAAGTATGAGATATATCTTACGAAGCAAGGTGCAGTATACTCTGATGCAATGCACCCATGTTGCTCTGGCAGAAAGAGCACCCTGTGCGCAAGTGGAGAAGCATGACCAAGTGAAAACCCTACCAGTACAGCCAGCAGAGTAAAACATCATGTCACATGACTGGATGTGGCACTTAGTGCCATGGTCTAGTAAGCGCAGTCGGGTTGGACTCGATGATTTTTGAGGTCTTTTCCAACCCAGTTGATTCTATGATTCTATGAAGATGTTTTTATTCCATGGACTAACACCAGGCCATCTTACTTCTCCACATGAATGAGACTTTTGTCATGGCTGTACAACTGTGTGGTGGAAACTACATAGCTAGAGGTCAGGCAGGCTCCAGACTTGCAGTGACACCTACATGTATGAGCAGAATGTTTCTGCTAAGTGATTCTTCCCCTGGACTCGGCCACACCTTGAATCCTGTGCTCAGTTCTGGGCCCCTCAGCTCAGGAGGGACATTGAGGTGCTGGAGCAGGTCCAGGGAAGAGCAACGAGGCTGGTGAAGGGACTGGAGCACAAGTGCCATGAGGAGAGGCTGAGGGAGCTGGGGCTGTTCAGCCTGGAGAAGAGGAGGCTCAGGGGAGACCTTATCACCCTCTACAACTCCCTGACAGGAGGCTGGAGTCAGGTGGGGGTTGGTCTCTTCTCCCAGGCACCCAGCAGGAGGACAAGAGGGCACAGACTCAAGCTCTGCCAGGGGAGGGTTAGGTTGGATATTAAGAAGAGATTTTTTACAGAGAGAGTGATCAGGCATTGGAATGTGCTGCCCAGGGAGGTGGTGGATTCACCATCCCTGGAGGTTTTCAAGCTGAGACTGGATGTGACACTTAGTGCCATGGTCTAGTGACGTTAGGGCTGGACTCAATGATCTTAGAGGTCTTTTCCAATCTGGTTGATTCTATGATTCTATGAAGTGTATAATGGGTAAAATCACTCATTTTATTAATGCAAAAGCTTCTTACCTCTACCAAATCCATGTCCTTCAGGGTCAATCCTGCTTTCTTCAGAACCTCAGTAATTGCAGGTACAGGACCTATTTAGAGATTGTATGCACAGTTAGCTAAATTTAAAAAGAAAATCAATAAATAAAAGCTTATAAACATGTTAGACACAGCACAGCCTCACGAAGCCTCACCAGATCCCCTTCCATGAGCATCTGTACAGCCAGTGAATTCTGGATGTGCCACTCACCTGCTTTATTAGGTGGCAAGAGAACTCCTAAATCTCAAAACTACATAATAGCCTTTGCAACACACTGCCAGGGAAAGTTAGGGGTGTCACTACTGTTGCACAGCTGTGTTGTCAGTGACAAAGCAGCTTTCAAGGCCCTAGACAAATAAAACAACTTCACAGCAGTTTTGAGGCATTCTCCTTCCCAGTACTCTTGGTCAGCTTGTTATTTCCTCACAGCCTGCAGCCTCCAGGTATACAAAACAGAAAAAAAGAGGCTGCTCTAGAGTTTTGTGGTCATGTGTTTGGTTCTGAACAGTTAAATGTTCCCTCAGACCCAGGTCTCAGCCAGCTGAAAATATTACTGACTTTGGCAATAAAAATATTCTGGAAGAAAAGAAAAACTTCCAGAAAACTGTGAGAAAGCTGATGTCTGACCTAGTATAATCCACCAAGGGAAATGAATCTCAAAGCAGAGCTACCTACACTCACAGATAATCTGAAATGGTCCATTAGGTATGTGCTTGTAGGACAAAGATACTGAGATGTGAGATGGTGGCTGATCATTACACCAAAAAACCCCAACTCTAAAATGCTAACCATTCTAAATGCTGTCTTACGACCAAAAAATGGTGTTTAAAACTCATAGTACAAAGAACGGAAGCCATAAAAATAAGCAGATTACCAAAGAGACAGAAAAATTAAAAGAAGAAAGTGCCCAGTTCAAAGCTCAGTGGAATACTAGGAAGCCTCTAGGCAGCTCAATAGTCGACTCTAAATGCACCTCATTAGGGATGGAGCATTACATGTGCCAGTAATGGAAGGGTCTCCTGTGAACAAAGACCAGTAATGACAGCCAAGCAGACTTTTTATCCTCTCCCTCTCTTCTTAAGCAATGAATTCTCCCTCCAAACACTGAGGCAAGACTCCCTATCACTACCAGTCTGTGAAAGGGCAGCTGCTTAGACTGAGCTCCTGTTCTTATCTGGTCTCTCTGAGTTGCCGTGGTGCTAACGAGTTGGGATACTAACTGTTCCTCCATATGATTTATGAAGTATTTAAACAAGCTGGAAGAGCTGCCTGACCCAGAAAGAATGGGCTGGTTTAGGAAGCACAATGCCAGCATGAAGTCTAGCCAAAGAAAGCTCTGAGGGTTGTGTCAGTCAGATAGTCTGATCAAGAAGACAGATCTAACAATGCTTCATTTGCATTTCCACTGACACATGGAACCAGTAAACAATGGCTTCTCTGAACAGAAGGGCAGAGAGGAAAAGCAATGCTGGGATACAATGCTGCCTACAAACTAAACAGAAGGGAAAAACCCTGTGGTGTCTGGATGGGCTTTGAGTGTGTGTGCATTAACAGCTATTTGATGAGGCAGCACAAAATGTGGGACTAACAAAAAAAAAGTGGAAGTATTTGGTTGGTCAAAATAATACCTGAACAGATGTGATTCCTGGAATCCAACCTTAGCTTGAGCCATTGACTAACTGCTGAAAGGTGTACAAATAGCCAACACACTCCTTCAGTAAGAGGTGAGGAGGACAACTCTTAGTTACACGTTTTACAATTGGATTTAAAGCTTGCAGGAGAAAAATGGTTTAAAAAACATGGACAGAGTGTTTGTTTTCTTGACTTATTAACAGAGAGAGTAAAAATGGAAAGGAAAAAGGTGCCTGGGGGACTGTTAATTCAGTGCTAATGGCATTGGTCAGACACTGCACATACCCTTCCAGCCCAGCTGAGGAGTAAGTCAGTCCCACTGCATAGGAGGGATAGACTGACACAGTGGAATGGACAATAAGACACACAAACACCTTCAGAGCTACCAGACCGAGCACACTGCAGCCTCCCTTTCTTTCCATTAGAATGCCCAAGACAGGAATATTTTAATGCTGATGGTGCTGTAAAATAATGTGCTTTACTTGCAATTTACCAATGCCCATGATGGAAGGGTCACAGCCAGATGAGTGATAGGCTACAACTCTTGCCAGAGGAGTAAGGCTGTGCTTCTTAAGCGCTGATTCACTGGCAATGATGACTGCACCAGCTCCATCACACACCCCCTTGCAACAAGAGAGAAAAGCATTCTTAGTGCAGAAAAGGCAAACAAGCAAAACATTGCCAAAACTTAAACTAAACCCTCTACAAAGGCTTGAGTCCAAGACACTGTAATCCACATTTATCAGACAGTGTTCATTCAAAACAACGAACCACAATCTTCCACTATTCTGAGGATTAGGAAAGAAAATTAAATATAGATTTCAATCAGTTCCAATGTTTTATAAGAGTAAAATACATGTTTCCCTTGCATTGGAAACATGACTCTGCAGCGCTGCAAGAACACTAATAATATTGGGTAATGCCTGTGTTACTAATTCTAAAAGAGACTTTACAGACAACCCATAGTGACTGTGGCTATGACCTATTTCAGGCAGGAATTCAGACTGTATGATCACAGTGGTCCTTGTGGCCCAAAGGACATTAATCAATTAATGAAGACAATGACTGTGAGAGGAGCAGTCCATAATGAGCTGCTGCCAAGCACTCAGTCTGCATTGGGTAAGAGCAAAATGTGGTTTGGATGACAGGACAGTGATTGTGCTTTCTAAAGCAAATATTCAGTAATAACTGCCCACAAAATAAAGTACCTTCCCAAGGTACTGGAAGGTACTACACAGTCTTCCAGGATCTGAAAGGGCTCCAGGGGAGCTGCAGAGGGACTCTGTGTTAGGAGCTGCAGGGACAGGACACGGGGTAACGGATTCAAACTGAAGAAGAACAAATTAAGGCTAGATCTTAGGCAGAAGTTTTCCCTGTGAGGGTGGTGAGGTTGCCCGGGGGGGGTGTGCCTGCCCCAGCCCTGGCAGTGTTCACAGCCAGGTTGGATGAAGCCTTGAGCAACCTGCTATGGTAGGAGGTGTCCCTGCCCAGGGTAGGGGGTGGGACCAGGTGATTTCTTCAGGTCCATTCCAACACCTTAACACACTATGATACAAAGATAGAGCAGAATGGCTAATTCTATGCAGCCACCGCACGTACTAACTGCATGATTCAAGGCTGATGAGGAAATGCCAATGCCTCACTAGAACATCAGTGACAATCCACAGAACCAAACTTTAGGCCACAGGAGCAGACTGAATGATCTCTGCCATCTCAGGCCTGGAAGAGTCAACCAGGGGCATTCAACTGCACAATCAGAAATCGGTCTCATCAGGAGACACCACTGCCAGCCCCAGGTGGCTCAGTGAGACATAAACCCCATGGCAATAAATCTGGAGGACCACAGAGGTGACTCTTCCACAGACCAAGGCTCTGACATACTCACTGAAGCATTTCCAGCTGTGACTGTTCCATCCTTTTTGAAGACAGTTGGGAGTTTTCCCAGCTGTTCCATGGTGGTCTGGGGCTTTGGGTGCTCATCCTTCTGAATGGTTTCCTTCCCCTTTCTTGTTTTCACTTCAATGGGTGCCATCTCAGCATTGAAGTAGCCAGCATCAGCAGCTGAAACCACAAAGAGGAAAGTGAAAGGGCTCTGATAACATCAACATGATTGTGCAGCATCACCAACAATCCTATTTTCATGTGCACACAACTCTGTTCTAACTAAGACTTCAGGGACAGCAGAATGTATGCTTCATTTTGCTTATTTATCTTGCCTGTTCATGCCTTTATTTTGCTGGTTGGTGTTCTGTTGTTTGTCATTTTGGACAAAAACCCTGAAAGTACATTCTCAAATTTCTCCAAAGAAAGTCTCAAATGTTAGCATTTTATTTCACCTTTAAATAAATATTTTCTTTTTTAAAACCACTAGATTATTTATGGCATACATCCCCCTGTATTTCTGCTTTATTCTACAGCTCTGTCACTCATCAGATGGCCAAGAAAATGTAGCTCTCACACAGAGAGCAATGTGGAAAAAACCTCCTGAGCCACATTTTGTCTGTTGATAAGATGTGTACCAATTAAAATCCTGCCCAAGGTGCTCCTCCATGTGATCTCATATCCCAGAACGGGATTCAGCTGTGTGAACAACCTGAGACAATCCAAAACATTGCAGGTATCTAAGATGCCCATAAAAGCATCAGCCTACATCCCCTAGTATGACATTAGACACAATATTTAAATCCATAATTTAAATTAGGGATTTAAAACTGAAATTATCATATCTGATGTTGCTTGGCTACCTCTGGACTTCCCAACAAACTCCTCAAAACCTTTTTCTTTCCTGATTAGACACAGGACTCCCTCTTTACTGAGGAATAAGATGAACTGGCCCTACAGGCAGAAATAAAAACTTCAAGGCAAAATGCTACCGAACAAGAAAGAAGCAGAGTTTCTAGAAAATGCTCCAGGAACAGCAGAGAAGACAGATAATGAGATCAGGTGGGAAGGCAATACATGACTAAGGTTACAAAAATCACGGCTACACTCATTGGAAAAAAAGTACAAAATGTTCCTTCAAGAGTGCAGCTGTTAAAAAACACCATCACCAGAACCTAAAAGCATCGTTAGACCTTTGCTTCTTACATTCAGCTTTGGGTTTCAATGTATTTAAGCCCCAGGACAACCACTACACATTCTACTGGATTTTGGCACAAGATTCACAGCAACCCAACCACAGAATCACAGACTGGTTTGGGCTGGAAGGACCTTAGAGATCATCGTGTTCCAACGCCTCTGCCATGGGCAGGGACACCTTCCACCAGCCCAGGTTGCTCCAAGCCCCATCCAACCTGGCCTGGAACACTCCTAGGGATGGAGCAGCCACAGCTGCTCTGGGCAACCTGTGCTGGTGCCTCAGCACCCTTACAGCCAGGAATTCCTTCCCAATATCCCATCTATCCCTAACCTCTGGCAGTGGGAAGCCATTCCCCCTTGTCCTATCCCTCCAGAATCTTGTCCCGAGTCCCTCTCCAGGTCTCTTGGAGCCACTTTAGGCACTGGAAGAGGCTCTAGGGTCTCCCTGGAGCCTTCTCTTCTCCAGGCTGACCACCACCAACTCACTCAGCTTGGCTCTACAGCAGAGGTGCTTCAGGCCACGTAACATCTCTGTGGCCTCCTCTGGACCCACTCCAGCAGCTCCACATCCTTCTGCTGTTGGTGCCTCAGAGCTGAATGCTTCTCAGTTATTGCTCTGGCCATGTAAACCACCCAAAGAACAGTTTAAACACAACTCCTGAACAAATATCCCCTCTTCAGATTCCATCTGCTTGAACTGTTTAAGGTTTCAGAACAGCATTTGATTTGCCAAAGAAAGAGAAAGGATTTAGGTCCATTCAGCACATGCTGGCATGCAAGATGGATGTGGGTCACTGTGGAAGAGGACTGCTCTGTAGTTAGAAGAAAGGAGGGCAGTCAGGCATGCCTGGGACAATGCTGCATCCCGCCAAAGGGGCAGCAATGAACCACACTCATGAACATGAATCCTCTTCAGGCAGGAGGTGACATGTGACAGGCCAATGTCATGTGCTGCCTGAACAGCTTATGGCATGTCCATGAGGAAGGAGGAGAAGGGCAGTGGGAAGGGCTGGGAACAGGTCAACAGGACCAGGGAGATGATTCTGCCCTGCACTTGGCGCTGGTGAGGCCACACCTTGAAGCCTGTGCTCAGTTCTGGGCCCCTCAGTTCAGGAAGGACATGTGAAGGGACTCGAGCACAAGTGCCATGAGGAGAGGCTAAGGGAGTTGGGGTTATTCAGCCTGGAGAAGAGGAGGCTCAGGGGAGACCTTATCCTCCTCTACAACTCCCTGAGAGGAGGTTGGAGTCAGGTGGGGTTGGTCTCTTCTCCCAGGCACCCAGCAGGAGGACAAGAGGGCACAGACTCAAGTTCTGCCAGGGGAGGTTTAGGTTGGATACCAGGAAGAGATTTTTGACAGAGAGAGTGATCAGGCATTGGAATGGGCTGCCCAGAGAGGTGGTGGATTCACCATCCCTGGAGGTTTTCAAGCTGAGACTGGATGTGGCACTTAGTGCCATGGGCTAGTAACCATGGTAGGGTTGGACTTGATGATCTTGGACATCTCTTCCAACTTGGTTGATTCTATGATTCTATGAAGGGGGTCATTATTTAACCTGGTGACTGGCACAACACCTGACTCAGTATACTCCAAGCCAAACCCCTTAGGAGTATCATAGGGCAAGCAAGATCATGAATTACAGTCTGCAAACCAAAGGGCAAACTACACCAAGATGCACCAGCTACACAAAACATGAAAACACTTTGGATTGATGCTAAAAACTGACTAGATTTGAAACTAGAATCATATAAACAGTTGCATTCCTCAGTTACTAACCAGCTTTGCACCTCTGTTGGGTTTTGAGTGCATACTTGTCGCAGTCCTCCCGTGAGATGCTGTATTTTGCAGCCAGATTTTCAGCAGTCACTGCCATAGGTATTTTGACATGTGTATCTGTCAGAGCTTCCCACAGGGTGTCTTCCAGCTGCATGGAACGTCATCAGAAGAAAATCAGAAGACACAGCAATATTGACATTTATCACTGACAGTTTCTAATTACTCAGCAACCTCTTGGAAACTAGTGGCTCTCTGTAAAATTAACTCAGGTTACCTGCAGGTACTTGATTTAAGTTAGAACAAACACATGGCAAAACAGTGTGCAAGTTGTGGTGTTCTGTTTCAGTTAATCTACGCTGTGTTCTTGTGTGGTTCTTTCCACTCACATCTGGCCCTGAGAGGCCTGGGAAAAGCCTGTGATCTTGAGTATTTCAGCATATTTCACTTCGGTACGAATTATTTACTAGAGAACTATAAGAACACGTAACTCTCTTGCTGCCAAGAAGGAAAGGTGAGGTACTGTGAAGAGGTACAGCCTCATGACTCTTTAGCTCTTTCTCTATTGTCAGGTAAAATCACCTTACTTGAGCCCAAGGTTTCTGTGGGTATAACAGCTCAGGTGAGAAACTACCCAAGTCTACCTTCACTTCATCTGATAAAGGCAAGCCCAGTCAGTTCAGATGGGTTTGGTTATCTCTCTGCCACCACTAAAGCTCTGCAAGATAAACTATTCATTTACTTGTGACTGTATAATTCAATTATCTTCATGATAAGAACCCAGCAGCACCTCCTCAGTGTATCAGCAACCTTGTGAAGGTGTTCTCTGCAGGAGCTGAGGCTCAGGCTTAGTGCCACAAAAGAGCAGAGCCAAGCATAATTCATATTCACCAACTTCATAATGGAAAACAGCATAGGGGAAAAAACCCCCAAAGGCTTGAAACACTGAAATATACTAATGTTTGGTTATGACCCACTGAGCAAATGGTAATTATCAGATCCTGCTACACATTTACCACCTGGATGCAAAAATAACTTATTAAGGATGTAAAAATAACTTACCTGTCAGTGGATTTAACGTCAAGTTTTCACTTTTGAGACTGAGAGATGCTTACAACTTGGAGGTATATATGTTCTTTACCAGTTTATCTACCCACTGCCAGCATTATCAGCCTTACCTGAACTGTGTATGCCTCTGTTTCACAGCCTCTGTCTGACAAGCTTTTGTACATAGCACTTGCACGGGGAGTACCAACTGAGCTAAATTTTGCGCCTAAGGGTTTGTTGATAGGTTTAACACAGATCAGGAATTCAAATACGGTTTTGGAAAAGCTCCAAAAATGCCATGGTTAAGAAAACTGCCTGAACCTACTGTCCTGGTAATGCCTGAATACAGGACAAATGCTTTGAGCTAGTAAATTTGGTTTCAGTCTCCAGCAATTTCATTTGCAATGACTCAGTGTCTACAGACCTGTGCTTTACATTGCTCTGTAAATATGGCTGTGTTCAGAGAATGAAATCAAGGACTAAAAACAAGCACCAGACCTTGAGTTCTGTTCCTAATCTGGTTCCAAACCGAACCTTTCGAACCGCGTAAGGAGCCTGGCTCATGCTTTCAGCTCCTCCACACAGAACAACTTCTGCATCATTCAGGCAAATTTCCTGTTGACAGAAAAACAGAACAGATCTGGAAATTAGCTTGCTGTTTGAGTAACACAGCAACAAAATGATATAATTAAACAAAGACATCATCACCTACAAAGCCAAGCGCTCAGGATGAATTCAGACCTAGTCATGTGTACGTTTATGAAGGGTTTATTAAGACCCTTTCAAGCCATATTCCTTCTTTCTCCTCTCAGCAAGGAATGATTATACCACAGAATACCCTCAGCTGGAAGGGATCCACAAGGATCATCACTCCAACTCCAGGCCTTGCCCAGGACACCCCAACAATGTACCCTGGGCCTGAGAGCATTGGCCAAACACTCCTGGAGCTTTGTCAGCCTTGGGACTGTGACCACTGCTATGGGGAGCTGTTCAGTGCCCAAACATCTCTGGGGGAAGAACCTTGTCCTGATCTCCAACCTAACCCTGTCCCAGTGCCCAAACACCTCTGGGGGAAGAACCTTGTCCTGATCTCCAACCTAACCCTGTCTCAGTGCCCAGACACCTCTGGGGGAAGAACCTTTGCCTAATCACTAACCTAAACCTCCCCATGAGGGAAGAAGAAAATACGGGTGCACACATAGGATAGGGGAACAAAGACATTAAGCCATTTGCATGTTTGTGTGGTTAGGTCCACACATGGTTGAGCTTAGTGGTTTTGAGCTCCCTGTCTTCTCAAAAGGAACACAAATTAGACCACAAAGCCTGAAACCAGACCTTATGATTAAAAAATTAAAAAGGGACATAATTTTAGAAAACACTAGCTAGGTAAGCTGCAAAAACAAACACCCAAAATACACTAATTCACCATTGGCAAAGTGCACAGAACCTAAAAGCCCTAAACCTTAAACACACTCTCAGAACACTCAAAAATTGCCCTTCCTTAAAATGATCCACTGAGTTGGACTGTTAAGGTTATTTGTGCACTGGGATGGAAGGATATGAAACTATTCCAGAGCAGCTGTGGTTGCTCCATCCCTGGAAGTGTTCAGGGCCAGGCCAGACAGGGCTTGGAGAAACCTGGGCTAGTGGCCTTTAATGTCCCTTCCCACACAAACCATTCTGTGATTCTGTGATCTTGACATGCATTTGAGATTACTAGTTAATACCAGGTGTGACTGATCTGTACTGAAACTTGCTGAGATGCTTCCTGTTGTTACCAAACACTTTGTGAACATTTAGGCAGCTCAGCATAGAAGCTGCAGCTTTGTTGTGTGCCAGAGAAATACAGAAACATTAGCTGTAGTGATGAAATGTCTTCTTTGGAAAGGACCTCACAACTGTCCTTTCAATCAAGATAAATTCTCCAGCAGATTTTTTTCACTGTGGACCAATGTATGTCTGGCCTTTGTAGAAAGCACTAGAAAAACAGCGAGATGGATATTATTGTAAAGATGGAACCTTAACTCTATATTGTCTTCTGTATTTTTAACTCTAGAGGATCAAATCTAAAGAAAAAAACACACACCCCCCAAACCAACTATCTGGTTGCTCAAGGATTTCTAAAATGCCTGCATGAGCAAATGGAATAAAAATCCCTCTATCACTGTACCATCTTACCAGTGCTTTGGCCAACACCTCAAAGAGAATTTGATTTCACAGGATCACAAAATCAGTCAGGCTGGAAAAGATCTCTGAGATCATCAAGTCCAACCTGTGATCTAACATCACCATGTCAACTAAACCATGGCACTAAGTGCCATGTCCAGCATGTCCTTAAACCCCTCCAGGGATGGTGACTCCACCACCTCCCTGGGCAACACATTCAGGGTCTAATCTCTCTTTCTGTGAAGAAATTCCTCTTGATGTCCAACCTGAACCTTCCCTGGCACAGCTTGAAGCCATTTCCTCTTCTCCTGTCACTAGCTGCCAGGGAGAAGAGCCCAGCCCTCACCTGGCTGCAGGTCCTGTCAGGGAGTTGTAGAGGGTGGTAAGGTCACCCCTGAGCTTCCCCTTCTCCAGGCTAAATAACCCAAACATTTTCTGCTATTTCAAAATAAGTGACACTATAAATTACCTAATCTGTGAGAGGTTTGGATCTTTGAACACAATTCACACTTAAAAAGCACAGGTTGGTGCTAACACAGCTAACCAGGTGAGGATATAACACTGATCAAGACATGAAAGACTCCTGCTGTTGCCCTGATGCCCAGTACTTTCCACCCACACACACAGGACCATGGGATGCAACTTTTGCTGAGCTCTGTCTCACCAGCTAACACTCTCTGCACTCCTTAAAATAAACTCAAAATAGCCACAATGCTGATTTTAAAAACCAACCCCAAAATATGGCACTGTGGAGTTTAAACTCCTGCAAAAAAACCATGCAGGACAATAGGAAACCTCTACTTGTAGTAGCTAAAAATCCATGTTGAGTCATCCCAAACACAAATGCTTTCACACACATCTCTTCTGTGACATTAGCAGTCTGATAAAAGTTACAGCTAACACAGAAATACAGAGTTTTGTACCTGATACAATTAATACAGAAATTCAGAGCTTTGTACCTGACAACCATTGGCAATGGACTGGAAACCAGAGCCACACAGCCTGTTGACAGTGAGGGCTGGAACAGAGATAGGAACTCCCACACGTAAACCAACATGTCTTGCGATGTAAATTGCATCTGAGGAGCTCTGTGGGCAGAACAAACAGGAGGTTTTGTCACACTCTGGTCTCTCTGGAAGGTAAAAGCCTTGATGAAAAGTCAGAGTGGT